CTCGGTCAAAAGCAAGGTGGTCTCGAATCTTCCCAGGGTCGCGGCGGCCATCGCGACCAGGCTTCGGGAAGCCAGGATAGATTTGAAACATAGTCAATTCGTCAAGGACATCGGGATCGATGGCACCTCGCATCGGAGAAGCACCGGCGCGGGAAAAAAGAGGATGCAGGCCAGCCACGACCGAGGGCAAATGATTAAGCGCATCGCGAAAACATCCAAATTAGGAGTGGCGTTAGTCAAGACGGGGCACCTTCCCCAGGCCTCCTGGGGCCTTGAGAGCCAAGGCGCTGCCCCGTCCCAGCTTTTGAAAATTAGAGCTCAAGTCAGTGGAATGGTTGGCCGAAAGGAAGGAGGGCGTGCGACGACCACGATTCGAACGTCCTTCCCCTCGGCACACCAGGACCCGTTGGTTTTTGGAAGACTGAGGCTTTTTCGAGAGTGGATAGCCATGCTGCCAGAGCTGCTTAGAGACCGGCGCTCAGCGGTACAGATCGCCCGGCGCAAAGCGTGGACGGGCTTGGAATCGTCCCATTCGCGCTGGCATCGAGTCAAAGACACCCTCTCAGCCACGGTAGCGGCCCAGCAGGATTTAGGTCTCTCGGCGGTCTCGCCGCGGGAATGGATAAATCAGGACGGGGGCCATCTCAACCTAGAGCTTGATGACCCAGAGGGAACCGTTGATGGTGAGTTCTATGGGGCTCTGGATCAACAAGCGTGGTTGTCAGCCGCCAAGCATTACCAAGGCAAGGGCCTGGAGCATGGCCCTGACTTGTTTACGAACAAGTGCCGCATGAGACAGCTCCGCAAAGAAGGCAAGTACGACCAGCTAGGAGTGTTTCGGATGGTCATGGCAGGAGCTCTGTGGCCAGCCAGTAGCAGGTTTGGGGAGGTGGCGACGCGCCACCCTCAGACATCCATCAATTCGCCCTCAGCCCCCAGAGCCCAGCCACCTGAGCCAGTAGAGGCGCAGGAGTCGGGCACCCCTAGCCCGCAAGCTAATGTAGTCCAGCAGGCCAGGGATGAGGGGCAGGAGGGAGATGAGGACGGGTTTTTATCTTTTAAGCAGATGTTGGAGCAGGTCCAAGGGGGGGGGGGAGCAGGCGTGGCCTGAGCCCCCAGAGGTGCTTTTTTTGAGCCCTTGGAGGAAGGTCCAGAGGCCGTCAGACATCCCCGTCGCCCCACTTGGACCAGTCCAGCCTGCCCAAGATGTGGAGCATAACAAGAAACGTTTTTTTTCACCAGTTCTGGGAGTGTCCAGGAAATGCGGCCCTGGATGGGGCTGCATGGAGAGCTTGCCAGCCAAGCAAAAGAGGGAGTCCTGGAACACCCCTGTTTCTGGCTCCGAGGACTAGCGCCAGTCCTGTGGGTGCACCCTTTCGCGAACCGCCCGATCCAGGGACAGCCCCAGGTGTGGGGGGGGGGGGGGGAGGGGGAACTTGCTCAGCAGGAGGTAGTCTCTTTGGACCACGCCACCATCGTAGCAACCGACGGCTCAGGAGGCAAGTATCATGCTGATTTTCGGGCCCGTCGGTGCGGGTGGGGTTTTTTTCCATCCTCAGATGGTGGGAAGCGGTTGCTTGGGCTTCGGGCCAGTAGACTACTGGAAGCAGTCAGTGCCGATAGCAGAGTTGTTGGCAACAGCGGAGGCCCTTCAAAGAACTAGAGGCCCAGTCATTTTGTCAGTGATGCCGAGAGCGTCGTGGGTGGAATCCGCAAGGGCCCCAGCGGACAGCATTCAGCAAACCAGGGGCTCTGGAGCACCCTTTGGAGTTTGGCCCAGGGCCGTAATGTGCCGTTTGAGAAAATCTCTTCTCACCAGTCCCCTGAGCAGGCAGCAAGCGCCCAGGTTCCCCCAGCCAGTTGGCTAGCCAATAGGATGGCTGACCTATGTGCTGAGGAGGGAGCGAGATCAGCCCAACTGCCACAGGAGGACCTGACAGAAATTTTTAGAATTGATGATCTGGCGGCGAGCGTTCAGGCCCACCTACTGGCAGTCGCAGATCCTGCAGCGCGCCAGGCTCCCGAGGACTACGGAGCCAGCGCCAAGATGGACAGACAGCACGAGGCCAAGCGCAGGGCGCAGGCTCGACGGGAGTCGTCCCAGGCCGCCGCGCAGTCGTCCGCCCATGCAGTTCAGCGAGATGTACGAGGCAGGCTCCGTTGCACCCGCTGCCTCTCTTCTCCGTCCTCTGCTTGTCCCCGACCCGTTTGGCTGGACCAACAGCGCAGAGGTTTCCCCGCCCAGATCCACAGGTCCCACGAGATCATGACCTTCAGGGGTTTCTTTTGGTGCAGGTCCTGCGGTGGGGCGGGGTCAGTGTCTTTCCAGAAGCTGAGCCAGACGTGCTCGCAAAGGTGCGCCTTGTCTGCCCATGGCAAGAGAATCGTTGAGACCCTCGAACGAGGGGAACCCCCCAAAGATTACAGTCAGTGGCCCCAGCCAGATGACGTTGGCCCACCACGTGCAGTAGTCTTCCCAGAGCTCTAGCCCGGCTCTCCAGCGCCACCTTTCAGAGGAGCTTGGCGCGCAGTTAGGCAGGAGGCAAGAGGAGGAGGATGAGGAGAAGGAGGCGGAGGAGGAGGAGGAGGAGGAGGAGGAGGAGGGAGGAGAAGGGGGCAGAGGAGGAGGAAGAGGCGCAGAAGCGGTATGGTGACCCTCTGGTGGGGGTGTGAACGAGCCCGCTGGTTGTCCGCGCCAGGCAGCACTCGGGGCGGGACTGCACGCGTCGTTGTTCCCTGGTGGGCTGGCTTACTCTCGGGGGGTCCTGAGTGCGTTCAACTGGGTGTCGGTCCATTGGCCCGCCGAGCCCAAAGGGGTCGTATCGGATCCGCCGTCGGCGTGCAGGAGTCCGTGGTCGCTGGGGGCGCCAGGGGGGTCGATGCTGCGAGAAGTGCGGGTAAAGGGGAGGTGTTGGCAGTGAGCGATCGCCCGGCCTCTGGCGTGAGTCGCGGCGTGACAAGGCTGTGTGCGTCGACCGCCGTAATTAGCCGAGGGGCTTGTGGCGCCCAGAGTTAAATGTCTGAAGCCGAAGGGGTCGGATTCGTGGACGACCGAGGGCGCGGTGCTGGTGGCGCCGCCACTCGTGGCATGGCCCCGCGGTCCGCTCGGACCGTCGGTAGGGGATGTGACCAGAGTGGCATGGTGACCATCCGGGGGGGGGGGTGAGAGCGAGCCCGTTGGTTGCTCGCGTGTGCCCGCACGAAGGGCAGGCCTCTGGTGAGGAGGGGGGGAAGGAGAGCGAGAGGAAGGAAAAGAGAGGGGGGAAGAGGCAGAGAGAGAGAGATAATGGAGAGAGGGAGGAAGAGAAAGAGAGAGAGAGAGAGACAAACAAACAATAATCAGAGGCTGGAAAGGCGGACGTTGGGATGGACGGCGCCAGGGGCAGCACGTGTAACGTGTCAGATCGCATTGCGATGAGAGCAGGACAGTGGAGTGAATATTGTCTGGCGGACACGTGCGCCTAAAACGCATGCTGTGAGGAACTTTGGCTTAGCGCGTCGCGCCGCTGAGTCTGGCACACCACGCTTCGGCGCGACACGATTCACTTCCCGGTCCCAAAGCGTCACCGAGCCCCGGCATCTCCTCCCGACCTCCCGCCCCGCGGAGCGGAGCGACACGCCATCCGCTTGCAAGGCATGTCGTGTCGTCGGGGCCGCCCGCGCGACACGCTGCGCAAAAAAACTCCCGACCGCAGCACGCGCCCTGCGAGAACGGCGGCGCGCAACCAAAGCGGCCCAGCTTCCGAACTGGCCTCGCGGTGTGTTCGCGGCAGCGCGAGCTCCCGCCGAGTCGGCGGCACGAGGCGCCAACGCCCTGGCAGCACCGGCAGCCCGAAGGCCCCGAGGCGTCCCAGCTGCAGGGTCCTGCCATGCGCGCTGTGTCCGCTGCGTGCCCGGGCCACCTCTCGACCGGCATGTCGCCCACGCCGGCAGGGCTCATTTCGACTCCTCCGATTCGATTCGATTCGATGGCTTCAGATTCCGATTCGGTACGACGTCGGATGCCGGTTTGGGCTCCGATGTCTCACTGGAGGTCTCAATATCTTGCCGAGTTTGGCCGATTCGACTTATCCCGACTTGGGTGCCGATTTCCGCCGATCCGATTCATTTCGATCGTTGATGCGACTTATCGATTCGATTCTGGGATTGCCTGCACGCCAGAAGCACCCTTGGAGGAGCAAGGGCAACGCAGGAAGAAGAGGCTGCAGGAGGAGGAGGAGGAGGAGGAGGAGGAGGAGGAGGAGGAGTTTCAGCGGAGGGCCGTTGGAGACACCGGTATTTCGGTAGTTTGTTGCCGCCATGGGGGGCAACGGGTCCCGAGGGACACGGGCCCGATCAGCTCTCTCGCCGCTCTCGGGCACTCGGGGGCCCTCCCGCGGGCCCCGGGACTGCCAGCGGCCAGCGCAGGAGGAGAGGCCCGTCCGCGTCCTCGTCCCAATCCTCTTCTTTTCCTCGTCCTCGTCCTCCTCCTCATTCTTTTCCTCCTCCTCCTCCTCCTCCTCCTCCTCCTCCTCCTCCTCCTCCTCCTTCCGTAGCCATTTTGGCTCAAGTCCGTCCCCTCCGTGGGATCTCGGACTTGGGCCGAAATGGGTTCCACAGCTGTTTCGCCCAAGGCCCCCTGGCCGTGCGCAGCGCCGCCCGCGTCCGACGGCGTCCATCCATATCAATGCAATGGCTGGGGTTGCTGAGCCTCCTGCCGCTGCTGTGCGCTGTCGCCATGCCGCACACGCGATCACTGACGGCCTCGTACATCCGCACCTGCCGAGCGCTGCAGCGTGGTCGCGCTCGCCCTCGCGGAGCTGCGTGCCGCCACGTCCTTCGTCTTCATATTCTCGTCCCTGGCGCCGCGGTGACACGCTCGGCTGCTGGCGATCCCGTCCACGCCGATCTAGCACACCAACGTCACATGCCGAACAAGCTCATCCCGCTCTACCCGCTGGGCGTCTGTGGCAGCCACGAGCTCCAGGAGGTTGCGAACTTCATCCAGCGGCGTCGTGTGCATGCTGGGCTCCATGATGGTGCTGGTCCTCCGCGCGATGCGGTGCCTGTACAAGCTGTCCTACGACACGGAGCTGGCCCTCTTCCTCCGCCTGCACGTCAAGCTCACCGCGCTGCTGTCCCCGATGCCGATGGTGTCGCTGTCGCTCTACTGCATGACCTCCGCCACGTTCCTGGAGCCGCCCTTGGCCGTGTTCCCCGTGGCGATGCCGCGCCTGAAGCGCTTCGCAATGGTGCTGGACCGCTTCCCCAACAAGTTCTTCTTCACGGAGCTGGGCCTCTTCCTCGGTGTGGCGCTGGCGCTCCTGAACCTGCTCTGCATGCCACGGCCGCCGGTGCTGTCCGTCCTCGAGACGCTGGTGATGTTCCCGATGCTCGTCAGCCCTTCGTGCATGCCGCTGCCGCTGGTGACGCTCATATTCGTGATGTGCCTGCTCCGCGTGCCGCTGCAGCTGGTGGCGCCCGACTTCGTGCTGCTGGCGATGCCCTCGCTGCTCTCCGTCCCCTTGTCCGCGAATGGCATCGAGCCGCACGGCGCAGGACGCTACTCCTGAACAGGCCCTTCATCCGCTGCTTCGACGCGTGGCTCGACATTGTGTTCGAAGCCTCCCTGGATTCGGAGTGCGACCAGACCGTAGAGGACACCGCTGCACATGATGATGCTGCCGATGGTGGCGTACCGGTCCACGACGAAGCCGCCGAGTGTGGCGAACAACCTGTTCTCGCTGTTCATCCTGCCCATGGTCCTGCCGATGCTGCCGCTGGGGGTGTACTAGGGCACGATTACGCTGCCGCTGGTGCCGAACGACCTGTTCTCGCTGCGCTTCCTGGCCCTCGTCCTGTCGATTCTGATGCTGCCATGCGTGGCGACCGACCCCCACATGCTGAATATGCTGGTGCTGCCAAAGGTGGCGCTCAAGTGCACGATGCCGCTCACGATGCCCCTGTTGCTGCCGCTGTCCTTCCCGATGGTGCCCAGCATGACTGGCCAGCTCCTGGCATGCCGTTCCTTCGCCGCTCGGACCTTCTGCAACTACATGTCTGCAGTACGACTCTCGCGTGCCGTGTCGATGAATTGGCGCGCCGAGCTGCTGAGGCCCCTCGTGATAGCGGGCCCGTCGGTGTGGCAAGCCCTGTGCCTCATGTCCTACTCACCCCAACCCGCTCTTCCTCGTCTGTGCATCTTCCCCCCATCCCAACGTTTCCCACGTTCACGAATCGTAATTTACATATTTCCGCTCCCCGTGTATGGCCCCATGCTGGCGGCCAGAGCGTCGAGCGTACAGATCGCATCCTGAGATAGACGTAGCGGCGAGAGACAGGCGTGGGATCACTTGCCCTCTTCTCGCGTCTTGTCCGCTTGCCCTCGTCTCTTCTCTTCATGGTACGTTCACTCCTCCTCCTCCTCCTCCTCCTCCTCCTCCTCCTCCTTCTCCTTCTGGGGGAAGGCCCCGGGGCCCCGGGCCCGTCTCCCTCCGGACCCGCCTCCGCCGCGCCTCGAGCTGGCCTGCGGGGGGCCCCCCCGCCGCCATGGCCGGGCGAGGCTCGGGGAATCGGTGCCTTTGGACCCCGGGACTCTGTGGGCCCCGGAAACGGCAGGGCCGTTTGTTCACCGCTTCCAAAAGAACATGTCCCTTGAAAGTGGAGACGGCAAAACAAAAGCGGCGGCCGGAAGCGGCAACAAAAGGCGGCTCCAGGATCGGAGCCGGAGCTGGAGCCGGTCACAAAACGCGGCGACGGAACCGGTAAAAAAACGGCGGCGGAACCGGCGAAGACACGGCAGAACGGAACCGGTAAAAAAACGGCCCTGTCGTTTCCAGGGCCCCTTTAAGCCCCTGGAGAGGTCTGGGGACCGACTCTGAGCCGATCTCTCGAGCCTCCAGTACCTCCGCGCGCGTTGCTCCGAGAGTCGGAGGAGAGCGGGAGCGCCCCGGCCGCTCCCCTCTCGTGCTGCCCAGAGCTCGGGTGTGTGGTGCGCTGAGCGGCCCCTCCTCCTCTCCCCCTCGGCCTCGCGGAAGCGCCCCCCGGCGGCGCCCGTGGGCCCCTGCACCGCGCACAGCCGGGCGCGTCCTCGCGGCGCTCGACGCGCGCGCGGTGTCGGGCTGGCATCGCTGAGGGTCAGGGGAGGGCAGGACACTCCGACACAATGAGTCGTCGATTCCCAGGAAACTGTTTGGGAGAGTGTGGGAAGTGGGGGGGGGGGGGACGAACACCCAGAAAGTGTGTGAAAAGACAGGGGATCCTGGGATTTGTGTCTATTTGTAGGTGTGCCCCTGTGCCTCTCAAGAGGAGCGTTGCGCAGCGCCGCAGACGGAGGAGGAGGCAGCCGAGCGAGCCCG